GCCCAGCTCAGTGCTCGGCAGAGGGGTGGGGGGGATTCAGTCATTCAATCTACAGAATAGGTAGTAAGTCTATGAATGTGAAAAAGAGCTAGCCCTCCAGGGCTTCTTGGCTAAAACTGGATGGGGTGGGGGTGGGGCTAGCCCCAGGCTTGGACAACCGTGACCTTAAGCTCATGGCAGAAAAGCTGCCCTCAGGCTCCTCGCTGCAGAGACTGAGGCCCTAGCCCAGGAGGGCACCCTCAGCAGCAGACTTCCACCCCACCCTCGTTCTCCTGACGTAGGCACACCCTTCCCAGAATGGGCCAGACGGGGGAAGCACAGGTCGGCCACCGCGCCAGAAATAAGCATGTGGGTTGGGGGGTATGGAGTGTCCTGATAGGGGACCCCCACGCTCAAGCCACCCCCGCCCCCGAGTCCCCCACGTCCCAGTGGGCCCCACTTGTGGCTTTGGGCCCTCTAGTGGCTTGGCACCCAACAGGGGAAGAGGGACCCCTGATAGTGTTGCCGCCAGCATCTAAAGTCTGCAGGTGCCCCAAGGAAAGGCTTAATGCCACGGCCAGTGCCAGGCCTAGACTTTCTGCTCAGCCCTGAGCCAGCGACCCGCCTTGGTGGCCCCAAACAGTGGCCTGGACGCTCCAGCTCCAGGTGGGGGTACCCAGGAGTACGACGCTTCTCTTTGACCTGCTGGGAAGCCGGAGCCCCAGCAGGGAAGCCAGTACGGTGGAAACAGGGGACCCTGGTAAATGGAGGGGCATCCCCAGCCCTGGGCTCTGCCTCATGTTCGGGGAGCCTGGGGCAAAGCCTCTCTATATGCTGTTGGGGATCTGGAGGTCACCATCCACCACCTGCTTCCATCCCCCAGGCGCCCAGCTGGGTCTGGCTGTGGCCCTAAGGTTGAGGACCTCATTAATGGAGCACCAGGCCCCAGGGCTCAGGCAGGACCCCCAGCCCCAGTGCTCCATCTCCTGGCCCTACCTTGCCCGGGGCACCCCCGTTGGGCAGGGTCCAAAGGAAAAGCCGCCGCCGCGGCTGAAGCTTCTGCCGCCGCCGCCGCCAAGGGCTGGTTATGCTCGGGATGGGCCAGACGGTGGCAGCAAAGTCCGACAGGTCTGGCTCTCCTGCTTGGCCAAAGCAGAGAACAGGAGTGGGGACTCTCAGAGGCCTCTGGGTCTTCATATCTGTGGGTTCATATCGGTTGGCCACTCTGGCGTCCCCACTGGTACAGGGTGCACAGCTTAGACTAACGCCCAAGAGCCGCCAAAGTGCCCAAGCCCATCCCCGCCCAGTGGGAGCTGGCCTCTGCACGTGCCTCGGGGTCCCTTTAGAGTGCCATTCTATGCAAACGCCCCCTTGGCCCTTGCTTAGGGGAGTCTAATGTTCTACCGCTTTGCGGGGGTTCGCGGGATCAAGGCCTGCTTGGATCCGCCAGGGCGCGCCCAAGAGCAGCTAAGGTGCCAGCCTGAGTTTAAGCTCACTGAGAAGATGCTCTGTTCCCTGGAGGGGAAGCCAGTGGGGTCAGGAAATGGGGATCACAGCCTGGGGTCGACAAGGGAGCCCCTTAGTTTGGGGCAAGACACTGACACCCTACTTCTATGTCCCCTCTCTGTGGTGACCTCACTTCCTGGGACCTTGGCCTCTCCTTCCCTCGTTTCTTCTCATCCACCCCAACCTATGTGGCCAAAGTGGGGCTCTAGGGTGAACCCCACTTGTCCCCTTCTAAGCCATGCCGAGCAAAGATGCTATGGGTCCCACCTTCATGCCAGGCCCCGGGCCCTGATTTCATTTGGCTCAATATCTTCAGAGAGCCTATCCATGGGCTCTGCTGAGGGAAGAAGGGAAACGCCCAAGGAGAGGACTGCTCGGTTCCTGCCCTGGGGAGTTCCTTGTGTCTCTGGTTGGGAAGCCATTTCAGAGGAAGTCTGAAGATAAGCAGGCTTCACGTGAATAGGGAGCAGGAGCTAATTGGGGTTTAGAGAATGAGGGAGGTGGAGAGAGAAAGGAATGACTGCCTAGAGCTTGGGGGGGTGATCAGAGGGCTGTACTAAGCTCTCCTGCAAACACTATCCCAGCCTCAGTGGTCCCTAAGGTTCTCCATAACCTTGGGAAAGGCAGATCCCAATGGTGGCAGCAAAGGCGGAGACACCAGCAGCGGCAGCGGCAGACCCAGGTGGCCGCGGCGGACCCCAGTGGTGGCAGACTTGTTCATTGTGGGTGTCTAACTCAGGTTCTGCTGTCTCAGGATAGATGCTTCTCCAACCCACCCCCTCCTTCAGGGGCTCTCTTCTCTCAGTGGGTCCAGCACGCTTGAGCAGCGCAGACCTAGAGCCCCTTGAACCAAATGCTCAAGAAGGCCTCAGGGATGCTGGCAGGGCCCCCAGCACCAACAAGCCACCCTCTCCTAGCCCTGCCTACGTGGCAGTACGCCATGGGCACGGTTCTAGGGAGAAGCCGCGGTCCACGCAGGCTGGTTATGCTCACGATGGGCCAGGTGGGGGCAGCAAAGGCCGCTGGGTCTAGCTCTCCACCTGGAAGCTACCAGCCAGGACTGGGGCACCCACAAAGGGGATTCTCATGCTTAAGTCACATTCACAGCCCGGACAGCCCCCCAAACCAGGGAGGCCTTAGTTGGAGCCTTGGGCCACTGGCTGGGCCCTGAAAGCCTATTGGCAGTTTGGCGCCCTAGGGCCTTGGGGAGTCAGCCAAGAAGCAGCTTTTCAGCCCATGGCAAATCCTTGCAGAGGATCGGAGAGGCTGGATCTCTAATGTCCTTGTTGCTCAGTCCTCTGCTGCCACAGGGCTGACCCCCATGGTAGGCCTTCCAGCACAGGGCCCAGCGCCCGCCCCAGCGGACCGGAGGGTCAGGCGCTGCCGCGGTTCCAGCAGTGGTTCGCGGTTCTTGGCCTGTTTGGAACCACCAGGGCGCGCCCAAGAGCCTCCTCAGCCGCCAGGCAGCCAAGCCTGAACTTGCAGACAGGTCGCATTGTTCCCGGGTGGGGAAGCAAGGAAATGGGGATCCCAGCCTAAGGTGGACGAGGGGGACCCTAAAATCTGGGGCAGGACGCTGAAGCCCCAGGTCTTTCCTCCACCCCCCTCTTTTCCAGGTCCCCGCTCTATGTGGCCTGACTTCCTGCGACCCTGGCTTCTCTTTCCCTTCTTTCTGCTTATCCGCCCCAACCCAAGGGGCAGCACAGAGACTCCAGGGCAAACCCCACTTGTCCTCCTCCAATCCCTTCCCAAGCAAAGGTCTTAGGGCCTGCGAGGCCCCACTTTTTGGACAGACCCTGGGTCCCATACTTAGTGAATCAATCTCTGAATTTGGTCAACAGTATATTTCTGCACCCAGCCCTGTGCTTGGCTGATATGGGGGAGACCCAAAGAGTGGAAATGGTCCCTACCCTCCAGGGGCTTCCACTCTAGTTGGGGTGAGCGAGAGGATGGGCAAACGTGGGCAAGAGACCTACGTATGCCCCTGGGAGGAAGTGGATGAGAGCCAAGGGTTGGCGAGCTGACAGGAAGAGTTTGGGGAATTGGGGGCAGGGAGGGGAGGGGTGGCTGCGGGCTGGAATGGCCCCCAGAGGAGGGTGGGGCTCCATGTGCGCCCTGAAGGATGGGCAAGCCAGGGATTGGCTGAGCGGTGTGGGGAGGGCATTCCAGGCGGGGCTCTCCCCTCTTGAAAAGGGCCCCGGGCCGGGGCAGAAAGGCGGGTGGGGGGTGGGGCTTGGACAGGGCCAGTCCGGTCTCGCTCCAGAGCGGAAAGCTCGGAGCATGTAGAGGGGGACCAGCTTGGACGGTGCCCCGGTGGCCGCCGCGGGAGATGGGCTTGATCAGGAGAGGAGCATTTACCGTTTGAATCTGTTGGTGCTGGTCGTGGGGCTGTTTCCTGCCAGTGGCCAGGCCACCTCGTACAAGGATTCGTGCGAGGTGGCCTGGGCAATGGGAGGGCAGGGACAGACGGCAGGGAAGGAGATGGCGGTGCCACCGAGGGTAGGTCAGGATGGGGGGCGCTCTGGCAGGCAGGATGGCGAGGCGGACGCCGCAGTGCAGGGCTGGGCGAAGAGCTCAGCCCTTCCAGGCAGCGGCACCACTTAGCCACACGTGCTTTCCACGCTCTGTGCCTCTGCTCCCTCGTCTGTAGAATGAGGGGCTTGGACCAAGTGATGTCTCAGGGCCCTTCGAGCTCAGACATTCTGAGATTCTCTGCACAGTTGTAGGTGAGAGGGAGACAAACCGGGAGACGAGCCAAGGTGGGGTTGGAAGTAGGCAATATCTTAGCGCTCGAGCCGTGCGCTTACGGAGCCGCGCGCTGACGGAGCCGCGTGCTTGCAGACCCAGAGAAGCCCGATTGTCTGAGCTCGCAGGGACCAGAGAGGTAGGTCTTCTCCAGCCTCGTCGTTTTAGAGATGGAGTCGCTGAGGGACAGAGAGGGGAAAGGGCTCGCTTGCTTCCCCTTAGAGGCCTTGAAAGGGGACTAGATCAGGACAGAGAAGCAGGAGGACAAGATCAGGATTGAAAGCTGAGCCTCAGGGTGAGCCCCAAGCTGCAGAGCAGGAGGGGAAGACAGACATAATCAGCGGAGACCGAGGAGTAACCAGAAAGATGGAAAGAGACCCAGAAAATGTAGCTTCATGGAGGGCAGGGGGAAAACGTCAGGAAGGAGGAGGTGAAGAACACCACCAGACCAGCAGCGGCCAACTTGAGTCAGCTGCTGGAGAGGAGAAGCAGCCAGGCGAGGGAGACAGGCGGTGTAGACCAAAAGGTCCGTTCGCTGGGCCACGGAGGAGAGACGAGAACTAGGGTAGCTCTCAAAGGAGACTAGTCGAGCCAAGGCGGCTAGGATCCTGGAGAGAGCCGGGCGGAGGACCAGGGAGCCAGGTCCTCGGGCTGAGCGAGGGAGAACAGACAGAAAAGCTGCCGATGACCTCCGGCTCCTCGCTGCGAGGCGAAGGCATCTGCAGAGAGACCGCGGGAAGGAGCGGGATGCCCCTGGGCAGGCAGGCAGGCAGGCAGGCAGGCAGGCTGAGGCTAGCTAGGCCAGGGGAGGTGCTCGCTCCTGCCACCTTCTCCAGGAACTCTTTGCAGCCCGGGAGCCGGAGCGGAGAAAGCAAACAGTGGAGGCTCCAAGCACTGTCTGCTTTATCCGCTCCTGCTCCTGGGGCTGACCTAGCAAACGCGCAGCGGAAGGCCAAGGATGCCGGGGTGTCGAGGGTGCTAGTGAGGGCAGCAGAGAAATGGCTCACCATGAAGGAGCAGAGGTTGGTTTGGGACGCGAATCTGGCTGGAAGGGGGCGCGCGGAGGGGCCCCGCGAGCTGGGAGGGCTTCAGTGATTGAAGACCCCCCGAGGGTGGCTAGGGGGAGCCAGTCCTGAAGCGAAGCTCCCCGAGTCATCTGAAGTCACATCAGAACGAGATGGCAGAGGGGAAGAGCACATGCAGTGGGCCCCCGAAGTGAATGAACGAGGGAGATGAAAGTCGGAGGCGCCACGAAGGGCCGAGAACGGTGAGTGGGGGTCTGAGATGGGGGCATCAGATGGCGGCTGAGCATGAGGGAGAGGGGAAGGGTGGGGGCCCTGAGCTCAGCTGGAAGAATACCCACGTTGAGCCACTGCCCCTGGGGCTGGACGTTCTGTCCCAGCACGTCCCTCTTACTACAGAGCCCCGCGGGCTTAGGTCTCAAGGGGGCTGAGGGTGGAAGGTTTGTCTCACTTATGAACACGCAGCCTCCATGTACTTTGTGGTTTGGTCCTTGTAGGAAAAAGTGGGGTATCATCAGAAAAACACTGATGCCAGGGTTGCAATCGCCATGCTAATCAGTCAGAAGGAGACCAGTGGCACAGACATGAGTAGATGGGAGTGACCGTCCAGGCTCTGTAAAGGTGAGTGAATCTCATGGCCCCTCAGATTTCCCAGGCCCTCCTGCCAGGACCTGAGAGAACACAGATGGGGAAACCGAGGCCCCAGGGGAACCTGCCCAATGTCACGTAGAGAGCGATTGCCACAAGTAAAGCCAGGACCAATTTTCCTTCCATTGCCCCACCCTGCCTCTCTATCTGTCTTCCCCCACCTGCCATGTGCCTCCTGACTTCCCCAGCATTAGCTCAAAGTCCGGAACAGCAGGATCCCCAGGACACAGAGGTGTGGGACTGAGGCCAGGGCAAGAGTCCAACATCCTGTATCCTGCTATACAATGAACCCCCCAACACACACACACACACACACACACACACACACACACACACACACACACACACACCTGGCTCCAAGTCAACCCTTTCTAATCCCCATCACCTTCCTTCTTCTTGCCAGATCAATCAACTGATCACTTCACTGATCTAGCAGCAGTCAGGGAAGGAGCCTTTCTTACCCAGCCAACTCCCCCCAGGCATAAGCGTGCGGGCATGAAGAAAGGGTAAGCTACTGCCAGTTGGGGACCTAAGGCTCCCATGTAAAAGGAGTGAGCCACGGGGAAAGAGCCCCCCCAGGCCGCCAGGTCGGAGGTGGCCGGGCTCACACCTCCTCTCCTGCACTTACAGATTACATCCTGGCAAAGGTCCCAGCCCAGCAGCAATGCCCAGGACAGGACCTTTTCCATCTGCTAACAAGGTGCCACTTGATTCAGACAGCATGGCTAGAAAGGTGAGCACAAACCGACCCTTCTCTGTGCTGCCCATGGGGGCCTTTGTCCCTTATGCCTGAATTCCCCATGGAGGGCTAGCTACATTGATCATGTCCGTGCTTTCACAGGCGACAGGCCCAAGACCCTGGATCGTTGTGTTGACAGCAGAGAGAAGAATGCTGACCCACTGGGGGTGCTGAATCCCCTCACCCAGAGAAGAGAGAACCTCCAAGTAGACAAGAAAAGCCCTACAACTGAGATGCTCCCAGAAGCCCTACACGAGAAAGACCTAAGCCCCCCACTCTCCACAATGTTCTGCCAATAACTCAGCCTCTGTTTTCTCCCCTCAAAATCCATCACCTCCTGGAAGCTTTCCATGATGAGAGATCCCCTCCCCCCCACTCCACCCCTCCCCCTGATCCTGGCTTTACCGTCCCCCTCTCCCTCCAGCCCCCCACCCATCCCCCCACATGTGATGTCCCTCGATTCAGCGACCCTGAAGCCCTTACAGACTCCAATTGCACTAGTTCGTTTGCACTGATACGTGTGCATGGTCCCCACGAGTGTGTGAGTGAGTGTGCGTGTGCGTGTCTGTGTTGGTCCTGTCTCGGCTGGCCTGCTCCCCCACGAGCCCAGGCTAGTCCTTCACTTACACCTCTGGCAGTTCTCTCCCCTGTTCCCCCTCCCCCAGAGCCCTCCCACCAGGGCTGGCTCTGCACACACTCAATAAACACTGTTGACAGTCAGCAGGGTTTCTCAGGATTGGAGTCACAATCATTGACCTGAATGAGGCGTCGGAAAATGGGCTGGGCAGGGAGGGGGAAGGAGGGAGGGAGGTATGGGGACTGGGGGGGTCCCCATGTGCAGGGGGGTGGGGTGGGGGGAACAAAGGAAGGATGGGGACTGGGAGGGTCCCCATGTGCAGGGGAGTAGAGGTAGGGGAAGGAAGGAAAGAAGGAAGGAAGGAGCATTCTTTCAGAAATAAGGACCCCTGAGTCCAGGATGGGGGAGGCAGAAAATAAGACCCAAAGGGGTGCCATTCATGAAAGCTGGTCTGCCCCTGTACTCCCAAATTCTTGCTCCCACTCTGGCCTCCTTGGCCCTCTCTAAATTCCCAAATCACATGGAGTGTTGTTCCCCCCCCACCCCCCCCCCAGACCCCCAGACAGAGAGCCCTGGGCTCAGCAAGGCTGAAACTGGTTCTCATTTTATAGGGATTATGTGGCCAGTCCTAAAACATTAAAAGAGTGGGAGTGAAACCTGAGTCAGCCCCCCGCCAGAATTGAGAACAAGTTTACCATGTGTCTGGGCGCTGCCTTGTTTCATTAAGCTGCTTTCTTTAATAAAACGTGGGCCTAACTGGGAGGGGGAGGGGGGAGTTTCTTAGAGGTAGCTCCCAACGTAAGACTGGGCAGGCAGTGTGGCTGGTGAGACAGTAGGGCAGTGCCGCACTCCCCCACCCCCAGCAGACAGCACGATTCTGCAGCCACCTTAGAGAGGCCAGAGGAACCCAGGAAGCCAGTTCCCTGACTCCAGTCTCCTTTCAAAGGAACAACCCTTGCCTGGGTCTGGGAATTGGGCTCCCCAGGGAACACATATCCTCCTGCTGCTTCCAGGGAGCCCAGGGTCTCCCCAACTAGGCCTCATCTCACCAAACCAGGCAGCAACCCCTTTTTCGTTCCATAGCCACTCATCAGACATTTTCCATTGGCAAAACTCATAGCCGTGGCTTCTGGGCTCCATCCTACCACCAATTCCCCCATGCTTCCATCTCCTCCATGTGTCCCAGATGCCCGTCCCATAGGGTTGTCCAGAGAGTATATGTACTCTGCAAAGATGCCTAGGATGTGGCAGCCTGAGCTAAAGAGAAGCAACAAGAAGGAGGCAAAGAGCCCTGGGGCTGGGGCTGAGGACCCTCCAGACCTCTGGGGCACGAGCCCTGAGCCACTCTCCTGCCCGCTTGGTGCCTCAGTTTCCTGGCCTGTAAAAAGAAGGGACTGAGCGGTGTCTAACAGCCCATGAGTTTTTGAATCTCCCTGCTAGGGGTCCCGGACCAGGAGAGAAGGCTGCCACTAACCCTAACCCACAAGTCTGCTGCATACATGACGCGGCCCCATCAGCTTGGGCTCAATGCACAAAGCAGCCCAGATGTTTGCAGCTCCATGGGAAGAGCTCTTGGAAAATGAAATTGGGCTCCTCGGCCCCCCCCCCCCCCAAGGCACTGAGCAGCTCACGCAAGAAAGCGTCTGACCCAACTGACAAAGACCAGATAGGGAGAGCCGCACAAAAAACCAACCACCAAGCACTCCAAGTGAGCCCCCTCCCCCTCCCCATCCCTTCTCCTCCCTTCTCCCCCCTGTTCTCCCCTCTGTTCTTTCTCCCTCTCTTCTCTGCCTCCCAACCTGCCTTCTTTTCCACCCCTTCCCCCAACTAAATCCCGCCGCTCCTTCAAGGACTAGTCCTCATCCCAGGATTTCCATGAAACCTGGGAACCTTTCTGAATGCCGGCCAAGAGCCCAGTGCCCAGCTCCCTAGAGTCTGAGTGGAGACTCAGAGGCTTTCGAATGGGAAGGGACTTGGAGAATGCAAGGCCCCTCATTTGACAGACGGAGAAATTGAGGCCCTAGTCATGGACACGACAAGCTTTTGTGGCCCCAAAGCCAGTCCAGCCCCAGCCCCGTTCCCAGTCCGCACAGGAAAACAGTGCCATCACTGTGCCCTCCCAGTCCTTTCCCGACTGAGCCTGGGTTCCCCGAGTCAACGGGCTTGCTGCAGTCCCTAGAGCAGTCTGTGTCTTCGTCCCTCCCCTCCCTCACAGCTGCCATGGGCCACACACTGGGAGTCTGAGCAAAGTGCTAGGGGAAGGCCTCTCATTAGGGGCTCCATGAGCAAGCTGGGAGAGGTTACATGCACTTGACATTGCCTCTCTGGCCCAATCTGGAAACGAAAGTGTGCCTGGGCTGGACGAGCCAGCCCAGAGTCCGTCTCCACAGCCCAGCTCAACTGAGTCAGACCGCGAGCGTGCTAGCTATGCAGGAGCTGGCCTCTCTCTTCGGTGTTAAGTGATTAGCTCTATAAACCTCCTTTATGATAAACACAAGCCGCCCCCCCCTCGGCTCAGCTGCTCTGGGCCTGGAGGGCTTGGCTGTACCAGCCCGCCAGCAAGGCTGGGAAGATGGCAGGAGCGGTGACAGCTGCTGGTGGCCACGGGGCAGAGGTGGCCAGCTGTGGCGGGGGTGGGGGGGGCCCGGGAGGAGCAGACTCAGCTTCCAGATTTGTCTGCTTCTGGCCTCATTGCGAAATGCTCCGTGTTTCAAACAAAGCACAGGGCTTCATTTTCCTGGAAATCCCTGGGCTGGAAACGTGGTCCAGGAATCCGAGAGACCCCCCGGGGTGAAGGTAGCCAGCCCTCGGCCCTTCTCTTACTTGAGCAGAGACGTTGGGTTCCCGAAAACAGCCAAGCAGGCTAAGGGTCAGTGGAACCGCGTATGCAAGCCCTCACACGTGCACATACATACACATACACGCACACACACATAATATAGGCACAGGTATTGTATACGCATGTACACACATGCATTCACACGTGGACATACATGTCTGCACACATGCACATGTGTGTATTTGCACATTCAGAACTGGGAACCCTCATTTTGTCCCTCTGCACCTTCTCCATTCTGGGGTTTCCTCTCAGAGGCCCTGAGACAAGTCTGACTCCCTGAGTGTGTGTGTGGTTTTCATACTGCGGGATTTGGGGGTTGGGGGCTATTCCTGCCCCCATGTGGCCTACGCCTCCCTTTGTCTCCAGAAGCCCCCACCCCAGCCCCAGGTGGATGAGCATCCCCGATGCCTGAGTCCATGGGTGTGGGTAGGTGCCCCGGTGTTTTCTTTGCTTTTTACTCCTCAAGGAAAAGGCTGCGTCTTGGAGAAATGTGGCAGTGTGAATGATGGTGGGGAGGGGTCTGGGAAGAGCCGACGGTGGATTGAGTTCAGGGTGAGGCCCAACCACTGTCCAGAGCCACCAGACCACCATGCAGATTCACAGGCCACACTCTCTCCAGGAGCCCACGGCCTCAGACAGTCAGTCAGTCAGTCAGTCAGTCAGTCTGAGATCAGGCTAGCTAGTGGGCTAGGGGAGCAGAGGCCAGAGAAACCTCTTGGGACCCAGGTTTGGAGCTGACCATGTGGGAAATGCTTCCAGCGTCCGCCCTCACTTCCTGTTTCTAAGAAAGAGGGCTTCAGACAGATTTTGAGGAGAGGCTGCTGGACTCCCTCCCTCTCCACTGACTACCCAATGGTGCTGTTTCCTCAATGTCCCCATACCCAGGGAAGTGTCCACCAAGGACAAGGGCCAAGGCTTTTAGAAAGAGGGTGGAGCAGGTGGTAGACTTGTGTGTGTGTGTGTGTGTGTGTGTGTGTGTGTGTGTGTGTGAGGGTGCTAGGCGTAGATCTGAGTATGCCCGGGTCCACTGGGACATCTGTCCGTGGTCTGATATGTGCCTCCACGCTCCTCCTCAATCGTGCCAACATGGGGTGTGTGTGTGTGTGTGTGTGTGTGACTGGGTCAGCTATGGTGTCTTCTGGCTCCCCAGGCAGCTATCTCCGAACCTGGGTCTGCTGGGGTGAGTATGTGCTGGTCAAAGGCCCGCACCTCCGTGGTTGTGTATCCTGGGTGTTTGTACATCTCTGGGCTGCCGCTCAACAACTTGGAGGATCGTTTTTCAGTGTGGACCTGCAGTCCCCTGGGGATGGGTGTGAAGGGAAGGACTTTGTTCCACTACTGTAGGAGACCAAAACAAAAAAACAAAAACCCCAACAATACAGAGGAAATGAAGACCAGAAACAATGGGGAGCTGACGCTGCTAGCTGTGGGGGGGGAGTGGTGCTGGCCCCCAGCCTCACCCAGTCCCATTGGGCACCTCCTTGGTCAGCAGTCCTGTGGAAGAGAGGCCCCCATGCACCCCACAACCATCCCCTGCTCAAGACAGGAGCACACAGCTCCCCCAGAATCCCAACACAGAGCGTGATGGGCGTCACACCATTTCCTGGGTTAATGCCACACAACACTCTTCACTGCTTTATTAGATTCCTTCCCACGCATCGTTGAGTACGGGGTGGGTGGATTTGTACTCTAAAGGCCTGGGTTCAAATCACCTGGTGGAGAATGACAAGTGTTTGTATTCCATCAGACCAAATGCTGCTGTGTCAAAGCAGAAACCCCCGGAGCTACTGCCTGTGAGCAAAGGGGAGGGGGTGACCTGCCAGCAGGGGGCCCTCCCCGTTTGACCCTCCGTTTCTGCTTTGGCCAAAGGAAGGGTCCTCGGGGACCCCCCAGTTTGACTCCTCCCTGAATCTGAATCCCATCAGGCGGGGGCCCAGGCCCCAGACCAGGGGAGCTCCATTCTGGGAGCCCCCTCCCCACTGCTGAGCTGGCCCCTTAAAGGTAGCCAGGGCCCTGCCCTCCTTGTTGGGCTGAACTCTGCAGATCAGAGCTCGGGCCTGGCCTAGAGGGAAGGCCAGCAGTGTGTCCAATGAAAGGGTTCAGGAGACTCTGGACAAGTCAAGCTGGCTCAGGTTAGCGCTGAGCAGAAGCAGGTGGGCCTGGAGGCCTGGCGAAGCAGGGGCAGGAGGGAGAGCTTCGGGCTGCTTTCACCACCTGGTCACCTGTGGGCGGCCAGGCCGGGGCCTGGTATGGACAGCAGCCTTCCCCCACTGCACGCTCTGTG